TGTTGCAATTACCTACATAAAAAAACATTGTGTAAAGAAATTGTTTGGTGTGTTACCCATATTTCAAACCACTGACACTGTACTCGACTCGATTATGTTTAGAATTTTCATATCACGTCAAATCTTTCAGATACAGACATTTTTGAGTTTCCTTTAAAAAGAAATAAAATGAAACGACACTAATGTTTCATTCATGAGAGTTCCACGAATATTGAATTATTCGAAATATTTCGATTTTGTTTAAATCTCATCGTTTCAATTACCCAAACAGCATGATTTGCCACCTAATATATATTAATAGGCAAATATTCAGTAAATTCTAAAACGGAAAGTGTTTTTTTATAAACTGAAAAAAAAAACGTTTAAAATAATTGTTTGGAAATCATAAAAAAAATGAAGTGAACAGTAATGAAAATTTGTTTTCAGACAAATCAGATATTCTTTTGACTAAAAATGTTAATTGTTGAGAAGTATGACATTAGGTCAGGTCAGAGCGGAAAGTAAATTTGTGGGAAATATTTTCTGAATAGAAATGTCTCGAATCGTTGCGCGTGTGTAAATATGAAACTTCGATGATGTAATGATAAGGAAAACTTTTTTTTTTAAAAAGTTCTCTTTTGTTGACATCATTCTAACTTCTGATTGGAGGATGAAATGGTAAAAAATAATTGAGTAGGACATTTTCTCATTTGGGAGCATCTGACCCAATCGATTGAAATATTTGAGGGCAGATTTAGTCTGGAAAATCTCCATATATATTCAGGAGCGCAGTGATTTTGAAGCAAGTTGCGAGTAATTTGTGAATTTGCTGGCATTTGTAGCCTGTGTTACTGCCACTTGTTAGTCAGATCCTGAAGTTAGTTGCTGAAAGAAAGTCCTTAAAATCACATCAGTGATACCACCTGTTTGCTTGTTCATTCCAAGACGTAAAATCCGCAATATATTTTGAATTTTTTTACTGTTAGAATGATTTTCACTCTGTACAACAGCCACTCGAAGTAGGCGGTTACTGATTAAGAGGCACAGTTTATGCGGATATTTTGGGAAGATAACGTCAGTGCTATAATTGAACAGCTTAAGATTGTAGTGAACGCGAATCATCCTCTTTGGCAGTCTCACAACCTGCGACATTACGGTTTTCAATTTGATGGCAAATTCAAGCTTAACAAGTTTGCATTTGCCATCGAAACATTAAAATTTTGTTAATTGAAATTGCTCAGTGAATTGAGGCGCTCATTTTCGTGGAGTTACAACTGGGGTGTCTCAACTAGAATTTCATCTTATGATTTTACTGTGGGCCTTTTAGGAGTAACCCGATTGGTTGAGTACCTTTTCCTAACTAATCAAAACGTGGGAATGGAGGAATACCGTTTTATGTAATCTGCAGTCGACATTAATAAACAAGCAATGAGATATTTATCATCTTTTTTTGTGGTTTCACCTTGATCATCTTGACCGAACAAAATATAAGAGGCTTATTCGACACTACTCCTCACAGCGTATTATTAAATTTGCCATTAAAAATATTTGGGCCAGCATACCTTTGCCGGTTGTAACGCAGATTTTCTATTCAGGGTTATCTTTACTCTAGACAGATGTTGTTAACCAGCTGTAGGAAACACATTCTACCCTGCGATTTTCTCCTTGGTTTGAAAAGTAGATTTTCTTCTAGACTGTCCAAATTCAGAAAGCATAAAAAGAAGAGACCGATTCATGTCATTCCCGAGGTGAAGGTGAACGCAACAAAATAGGCTAGAATTCGTCTATACGAGTTGAGTAGACATAAATGTTTATACTCTTTTATAAGACGTAATATATATAATGCTATATATATATATATATATATATATATATATATATATATATATATATATATATATATATATATATATATATATGTGTGTGTGTGTGTGTGTGATTGTGCGTAATAAAGTTAATGTCCGCAGTTGAATTAGACCAGGAAATTGTAGCATGAAAAAATAAAAAAAATTACCATGTAGAGCTTTTAGATACAAAAATTAAGAGACCAGGCGATTGCGCTACCTTGTTTTCAACCTTTCGATATCTTCAGGCGATTCTGGTCACTTGATTTCCTAACGCTTTGTTTTTGTTAAATTAATGAACGCTTATTATTAACAAAATAAATAAACGCACGACGTGAAGTGTGATAGAGCGGGAGGAGAAGGAAGGGTATTGGAAATGTGTCGGTAGAAGGTTAAATGTTAAATATTAAATGTATATACATTCTTTTCATCCTTGTTCACACACACACACACACACACACACACATATATATATATATATATATATATATATATATATATATATATATATATATATATATACATACACACCAAGTCTCTGTATTCGGGCCTTCAAATGTGTGGATGGTTCTGCAGAAAACATTCACCACTATAATCAAATCTCATGTGCTGGTTGGTGTCGGACTGTCGGTCCCTATGAACTGATCTGCTTGACTCTCATACGACGAATTCGACGG